AAATCCCCCCAAAATCCGCTCACCCATCTCCTCGAGCTCCGAGGTCATGGACTTGGAGCGCAGCGAGATCGGGGGGGCCGGGAGGCGCCGCGGGGGGGGCGGGGCCGCTGGGGGCGGGGCCGCGTCAGGCCACGCCCCCGGAACAGGCCACGCCCACCGGCACAGGCCACGCCCACCCGGCACGGGCCACGCCCCCCGGCTCAGGCCACGCCCCCCGGCTCAGGCCACGCCCACCGGCACAGGCCACGCCCCCCGGCTCAGGCCACGCCCCCCGGCTCAGGCCACGCCCACCAGGCACCTCCACCCGGCACAGGCCACGCCCACCGGCTCAGGCCACGCCCACCGGCTCAGGCCACGCCCCCCGGCTCAGGCCACGCCCACCGGCTCATGCCACGCCCACCCGGCACAGCCCACGCCCATCGGCACAGGCCACGCCCACCGGTACAGGCCACGCCCACCCGGCACAGGCCACGCCCACCCGCTCAGGCCACGCCCCCCGGCACAGGCCACGCCCACCCGACACGGGCCACGCCCACCGGCTCAGACCACGCCCACCCGGCACAGCCACCCGGCACAGGCCACGCCCCCCGGCACAGGCCACGCCCCCGGCACAGACCACGCCCACCGGTACAGGCCACGCCCACCGGCTCAGGCCACGCCCCCTGGCACAGGCCACGCCCACCGGCTCAGGCCACGCCCACCGCTCATTGAAACTCCGCCCACAATTCAAATAAACTGAGGACCCGCCCACAATTCAAATTGAGACCCCGCCCACAATTCAAATTTAGACCCCGCCCACAATTCAAATAAACCGAGACCCCGCCCACAATTTAAATAAACCCAGACCCCGCCCACAATTCCTATTGAGACCACACCCACAATTTAAATAAACCCAGACCCCGCCCACAATTCAAATTGAGACCACACCCACAATTTAAATAAACCCAGACCCCGCCCACAATTCAAATTGAGACCCCGCCCACAATTCCAAATAAACCGACCCTGCACACAATTCCAAATAAAACCAGACCCCGCCCACAATTCAAATTGAGACCCCGCCCACAATTCAAATAAACCGAGACCACGCCCACAATTCCAAATAAACCCAGGCCCCGCCCACAATTCAAATAATCTGAGGCTACGCCCATAATTCAAATTAACTGAAGCCCCGCCCACAATTCATGGAGACCCCGCCCACAATTCATTGAAACTCTGCCAACAATTTAAATCAACTGAGACCCCGCCCACAATTTAAATTAACTCAGACCCCGCCCACAATACACTGAGACCCCGCCCACAATTTAAATTAACTCAGACTCCCCCACAATTTAACTCAACCAAGACCCCTCCCATATTTCAATGAGACCCTGCCCATAATTAAAATCGACTGAGACCCCACCCACAATTCACTGAGACCCCGCCCACAATTGAAATCAACAGAGACCCCGCCCACAATTTAAATTAACTAAGACCCCACCCACAATTCACTGAGACCCCGCCCACAATTTAAATAATCAGAGACCCCGCCCACAATTGACTGAGACCCCGCCCACAATTCATTGAGACCCCGCCCACATTTAAATAAACTAAGACCCCGCCCACAATTCTTTGGGACCCCGCCCACAATTTAAATAAACTGAGACCCCGCCCACAATTCACTGAGACCCCGCCCACAATTTAAATAATCGGAGACCCCGCCCACAATTGACTGAGACCCCGCCCACAATTCATTGAGACCCCGCCCACATTTTAATAAACTAAGACCCCGCCCACAATTCTTTGGGACCCCGCCCACAATTTAAATAAACGAAGACCCCCGCCGATAATTCAATGAGACCCCGCCCACAATTTAACTAAACCAATACCCCGCCCATAATTAACTGAAACCCCGCCCACAATTCAAATTAATTGAGACCCCGCCCACAATTAATTGAAACTCGGCCCACAATTTAAATAAACTGAGACCCTGCCCAAATTCCATTGTGACCCCACCCACAATTTAAATAATTGGAGACCCCGTCCCTAATTGCAATTAACTGAAGCCCCGCCCACAATTCATCGAGACCACGCCCACAATTTAAATTAATCAAGACCCCGCCCACAATTCAAATTAACCCAAGCTCCGCCCACAAATCAGAGACCCCGCCCCCAATTCCAGTCGAGACCCCCGCCCACATTTCACCGAGACCACGCCCCCAATTCAAATTACATGAGACCCCGCCCCCAATTAAAATTAACTGAGACTCCTCTCCAAATTCTAATTAACCGAGACCGCGCCCCCAATGGGGACCCCACCCAAATTCAAATTAACCGAGACCACGCCCAAAATTAAATGAGACCACGCCCCCAATTCAAATTAACCGAGACCCCGCCCACAATTATTGGAGACCCCAGCCAAATTCAAATTAACTGAGACCACGCCCCCAATTAATGGGGACCCCGCCCCAAATTCAAATTAACCGTAAATCCTCTCAAAATTCAAATTAACCGAGACCCTGCCCCAATTAACGGGGACTGCACCCAAATTCAAATTAACTGAGACCACGCCCCAAATTAAATGAGACCCCATCCCCAATTCTAATTAACTGAGACCCCGCCCCCAATTAATGGAGACTCCAGCCAAATTCAAATTAACCGTAAATCCTCTCAAAATTCAAATTAACTGAGACCCCGCCCCCAATTAATCGAGACTCCACCTCCAATTCAAATTAACTGTGACCCCACCCTAAATTAATGGGAAATTAACCGAGGCCCTGCCCCAATTAATGGGGACTCCACCCAAATTCAAATTAACCGAGACCACGCCCCAAATTCTAATTAACTGAGCCACGCCCACAAACACAGGTGCCCCCAGGTGCCCCCAGGTCTATCCCAGGTGTGCCCAGGTACCCCCAGGTCTATCCCAGGTGTGCCCAGGTGTGCCCAGGTACCCCCAGGTCTATCCCAGGTGTGCCCAGGTGTGCCCAGGTCTATCCCAGGTGTGCCCAGGTCTATCCCAGGTGTGCCCAGGTGTGCCCAGGTGCACCCAGGTACCCCCAGGTCTATCCCAGGT